CTTTCATCCCACCATCTACCCTCTCTACAAGCTAATCATCCATTCAATTTTCAATGGATCCCCCTTGATTTCCATGAGTTTTTTGGTTATAATAAAAATCCTGCTGAGTTGCTGAAACTAATAACTGATCAAAGTAGAAAAACATAAAGGACACGTAAAAATCATGTGATCCAAGACTTTAAAAAAGCAGAACATTCTTTTCAAGTGGGTTTTCAGACACTTTCCAGAATGTAGATCGATTCCAATAAATGACAGTGAAGTAATTGAAATCTCAGTTTAAAGTGGACAGAGGTAGAGTGGTGCGCTGCTTGTGTCATTAACATTGTCAGGAGGATTGACTCAACCACGATGGGACTTGAAGCCTCAATCTTCTGATCCGAAGTCAGACGCCTTATCCATTAGGCCACGTGGTCTTGACCTCTAGAAATTAAAGTTAGCTTTTTATTTGGCTTTTACGAAATTCTATGCAAATGATTGGATGTGCAAATTGCATCAAACTAATCCAAATGCCACAAAAGCTAGTTCCACCATATCACATTTGAATTCAAAATCCAACTGAACTTCACGTCTCATAGTTTCAGCATGACTTCCTATTGGTCTAGACTGTTGAGGATTTGCCCTCGTTGTCATTTCTTTCCTCCAATCATGTATCAATCTTTCAAGCAGTTCAATCTTTCATCCCACCATCTACCCTCTCTACAAGCTAATCATCCATTCAATTTTCAATGGATCCCCCTTGATTTCCATGAGTTTTTTTGGTTATAATAAAAATCCTGCTGAGTTGCTGAAACTAATAACTGATCAAAGTAGAAAAACATAAAGGACATGTAAAAATCATGTGATCCAAGACTTTAAAAAAAGCAGAACATTCTTTTCAAGTGGGTTTGCAGACACTTTCCAGAATGTAGATTGATTCCAATACATGACAGTGAAGAAATTGAAATCTCAGTTTAAAGTGGACAGAGGTAGAGTGGTGCGCTGCTTGTGTCAGAAGGATTGACTCAACCACGAAGGGACTTGAACCCTCAATCTTCTGATCCATAGTCAGACACCTTATCCATTAGGCCACATGGTCTTTACCTCAGGAAATTAAAGTTAGCTATTTATTTGGCTTTTACGAATTTCTATGCAAATGATTGGATGTGCAAATTGCATCAAACTAATCCAAATGCCACAAAAGCTAGTTCCACCATATCACATTTGAATTCAAAATCCAACTCAACTTCACGTCTAATAGTTTCAGCATGACTTCCTATTGGTCTAGACTGTTGAGGATTTGCCCTCGTTGTCATTTCTTTCCTCCAATCATGTATCAATCTTTCAAGCAGTTCAATCTTTCATCCCACCATCTACCCTCTCTACAAGCTAATCATCCATTCAATTTTCAATGGATCCCCCTTGATTTCCATGAGTTTTTTTGGTTATAATAAAAATCCTGCTGAGTTGCTGAAACTAATAACTGATCAAAGTAGAAAAACATAAAGGACACGTAAAAATCATGTGATCCAAGACTTTAAAAAAGCAGAACATTCTTTTCAAGTGGGTTTTCAGACACTTTCCAGAATGTAGATCGATTCCAATACATGACAGTGAAGTAATTGAAATCTCAGTTTAAAGTGGACAGAGGTAGAGTGGTGCGCTGCTTGTGTCATTAACATTGTCAGGAGGATTGACTCAACCACGATGGGACTTGAAGCCTCAATCTTCTGATCCGAAGTCAGACGCCTTATCCATTAGGCCACGTGGTCTTGACCTCTAGAAATTAAAGTTAGCTTTTTATTTGGCTTTTACGAAATTCTATGCAAATGATTGGATGTGCAAATTGCATCAAACTAATCCAAATGCCACAAAAGCTAGTTCCACCATATCACATTTGAATTCAAAATCCAACTGAACTTCACGTCTCATAGTTTCAGCATGACTTCCTATTGGTCTAGACTGTTGAGGATTTGCCCTCGTTGTCATTTCTTTCCTCCAATCATGTATCAATCTTTCAAGCAGTTCAATCTTTCATCCCACCATCTACCCTCTCTACAAGCTAATCATCCATTCAATTTTCAATGGATCCCCCTTGATTTCCATGAGTTTTTTTGGTTATAATAAAAATCCTGCTGAGTTGCTGAAACTAATAACTGATCAAAGTAGAAAAACATAAAGGACACGTAAAAATCATGTGATCCAAGTTTTTAAAAAAGCAGAACATTCTTTTCAAGTGGGTTTGCAGACACTTTCCAGAATGTAGATTGATTCCAATACATGACAGTGAAGAAATTGAAATCTCAGTTTAAAGTGGACAGAGGTAGAGTGGTGCGCTGCTTGTGTCAGAAGTATTGACTCAACCACGAAGGGACTTGAACCCTCAATCTTCTGATCCATAGTCAGACACCTTATCCATTAGGACACATGGTCTTTACCTCAGGAAATTAAAGTTAGCTATTTATTTGGCTTTTACGAATTTCTATGCAAATAATTGGATGTGCAAATTGCATCAAACTAATCCAAATGCCACAAAAGCTAGTTCCACCATATCACATTTGAATTCAAAATCCAACTGAACTTCACGTCTAATAGTTTCAGCATGACTTCCTATTGGTCTAGACTGTTGAGGATTTGCCCTCGTTGTCATTTCTTTCCTCCAATCATGTATCAATCTTTCAAGCAGTTCAATCTTTCATCCCACCATCTACCCTCTCTACAAGCTAATCATCCATTCAATTTTCAATGGATCCCCCTTGATTTCCATGAGTTTTTTTGGTTATAATAAAATCCTGCTGAGTTGCTGAAACTAATAACTGATCAAAGTAGAAAAACATAAAGGACACGTAAAAATAATGTGATCCAAGACTTTAAAAAAGCAGAACATTCTTTTCAAGTGGGTTTGCAGACACTTTACAGACTGTAGATTGATTCCAATACATGACAGTGACGAAATTGAAATCTCAGTTTGAAGTGGATAGAGGTAGAGTGGTGCGCTGCTTGTGTCAGAAGGATTGACTCAACCACGAAGGGACTTGAACCCTCAATCTTCTGATCCATAGTCAGACACCTTATCCATTAGGCCACGTGGTCTTTACCTCAGAATTTAAAGTTAGCTATTTATTTGGCTTTTACGAATTTCTATGCAAATAATTGGATGTGCAAATTGCATCAAACTAATCCAAATGCCACAAAAGCTAGTTCCACCATATCACATTTGAATTCAAAATCCAACTGAACTTCACGTCTAATAGTTTCAGCATGACTTCCTATTGGTCTAGACTGTTGAGGATTTGCCCTCATTGTCATTTCTTTCCTCCAATCATGTATCAATCTTTCAAGCAGTTCAATCTTTCATCCCACCATCTACCCTCTCTACAAGCTAATCATCCATTCAATTTTCAATGGATCCCCCTTGATTTCCATGAGTTTTTTTGGTTATAATAAAAATCCTGCTGAGTTGCTGAAACTAATAACTGATCAAAGTAGAAAAACATAAAGGACACGTAAAAATCATGTGATCCAAGTTTTTAAAAAAGCAGAACATTCTTTTCAAGTGGGTTTGCAGACACTTTCCAGAATGTAGATTGATTCCAATACATGGCAGTGAAGAAATTGAAATCTCAGTTTAAAGTGGACAGAGGTAGAGTGGTGCGCTGCTTGTGTCATTAACATTGTCAGGAGAATTGACTCAACCACGAAGGGACTTGAACACTCAATCTTCTGATCCGAAGTCAGACGCCTTATCCATTAGGCCACGTGGTTTTTTCCTCAGGAATTTAAAGTAAGCTATTTATTTGTCTTTTTCGAATTTCTATGCAAATAATTGGATGTGCAAATTGCATCAAACTAATCCAAATGCCACCAAAGCTAGTTCCACCATATCACATTTGAATTCAAAATCCAACTGAACTTCACGTCTAATAGTTTCAGCATGACTTCCTATTGGTCTAGACTGTTGAGGATTTGCCCTCGTTGTCATTTCTTTCCTCCAATCATGTATCAATCTTTCAAGCAGTTCAATCTTTCATCCCACCATCTACCCTCTCTACAAGCTAATCATCCATTCAATTTTCAATGGATCCCCCTTGATTTCCATGAGTTTTTTTGGTTATAATAAAAATCCTGCTGAGTTGCTGAAACTAATAACTGATCAAAGTAGAAAAACATAAAGGACACGTAAAAATCATGTGATCCAAGACTTTAAAAAAGCAGAACAATCTTTTCAAGTGGGTTTGCAGACACTTTCCAGAATGTAGATTGATTCCAATACATGACAGTGAAGAAATTGAAATGTCAGTTTAAAGTGGACAGAGGTAGAGTGTTAGGCTGCTTGTGTCAGGAGGATTGACTCAACCACGAAGGGACTTGAACCCTCAATCTACTGATCCGAAGTCAGACGCCTTACCCATTAGGCCACGAGGTCTTTACCTCTAGAAATTAAATTAGCTTTTTATTTGGCTTTTACGAATTTCTATGCAACTGATTGGATGTGCAAATTGCATCAAACTAATCCAAATGCCACAAAAGCTAGTTCCACCATATCACATTTGAATTCAAAATCCAACTGAACTTCACGTCTAATAGTTTCAGCATGACTTCCTATTGGTCTAGACTGTTGAGGATTTGCCCTCGTTGTCATTTCTTTCCTCCAATCATGTATCAATCTTTCAAGCAGTTCAATCTTTCATCCCACCATCTACCCTCTCTACAAGCTAATCATCCATTCAATTTTCAATGGATCCCCATTGATTTCCATGAGTTTTTTTGGTTATAATAAAAATCCTGCTGAGTTGCTGAAACTAATAACTGATCAAAGTAGAAAAACATAAAGGACACGTAAAAATCATGTGATCCACGACTTTACAACACCGAAACATTCTTTTCAAGTGGGTTTGCAGACACTTTCCAGAATGTAGATCGATTCCAATACATGACAGTGAAGAAATTGAAATGTCAGTTTAAAGTGGACAGAGGTAGAGTGGTGCACTGCTTGTGTCATTAACATTGTCAGGAGAATTGACTCAACCACGAAGGGACTTGAACCCTCAATCTTCTGATCCAAAGTCAGATGCCTTATCCATTAGGCCACGTGGTGTTTACCTCTTGAAATTAAAGTTAGCTTTTTATTTGGCTTTTACGAAATTCTATGCAAATGATTGGATGTGCAAATTGCATCAAACTAATCCAAATGCCACAAAAGCTAGTTCCACCATATCACATTTGAATTCAAAATCCAACTGAACTTCACGTCTAATAGTTTCAGCATGACTTCCTATTGGTCTAGACTGTTGAGGATTTGCCCTCGTTGTCATTTCTTTCCTCCAATCATGTATCAATCTTTCAAGCAGTTCAATCTTTCATCCCACCATCTACCCTCTCTACAAGCTAATCATCCATTCAATTTTCAATGGATCCCCCTTGATTTCCATGAGTTTTTTTGGTTATAATAAAAATCCTGCTGAGTTGCTGAAACTAATAACTGATCAAAGTAGAAAAACATAAAGGACACGTAAAAATCATGTGATCCAAGACTTTAAAAAAGCAGAACAATCTTTTCAAGTGGGTTTGCAGACACTTTCCAGAATGTAGATTGATTCCAATACATGACAGTGAAGAAATTGAAATGTCAGTTTAAAGTGGACAGAGGTAGAGTGTTAGGCTGCTTGTGTCAGGAGGATTGACTCAACCACGAAGGGACTTGAACCCTCAATCTACTGATCCGAAGTCAGACGCCTTACCCATTAGGCCACGAGGTCTTTACCTCTAGAAATTAAATTAGCTTTTTATTTGGCTTTTACGAATTTCTATGCAACTGATTGGATGTGCAAATTGCATCAAACTAATCCAAATGCCACAAAAGCTAGTTCCACCATATCACATTTGAATTCAAAATCCAACTGAACTTCACGTCTAATAGTTTCAGCATGACTTCCTATTGGTCTAGACTGTTGAGGATTTGCCCTCGTTGTCATTTCTTTCCTCCAATCATGTATCAATCTTTCAAGCAGTTCAATCTTTCATCCCACCATCTACCCTCTCTACAAGCTAATCATCCATTCAATTTTCAATGGATCCCCATTGATTTCCATGAGTTTTTTTGGTTATAATAAAAATCCTGCTGAGTTGCTGAAACTAATAACTGATCAAAGTAGAAAAACATAAAGGACACGTAAAAATCATGTGATCCACGACTTTACAACACCGAAACATTCTTTTCAAGTGGGTTTGCAGACACTTTCCAGAATGTAGATCGATTCCAATACATGACAGTGAAGAAATTGAAATGTCAGTTTAAAGTGGACAGAGGTAGAGTGGTGCACTGCTTGTGTCATTAACATTGTCAGGAGAATTGACTCAACCACGAAGGGACTTGAACCCTCAATCTTCTGATCCAAAGTCAGATGCCTTATCCATTAGGCCACGTGGTGTTTACCTCTTGAAATTAAAGTTAGCTTTTTATTTGGCTTTTACGAAATTCTATGCAAATGATTGGATGTGCAAATTGCATCAAACTAATCCAAATGCCACAAAAGCTAGTTCCACCATATCACATTTGAATTCAAAATCCAACTGAACTTCACGTCTCATAGTTTCAGCATGACTTCCTATTGGTCTAGACTGTTGAGGATTTGCCCGCGTTGTCATTTCTTTCCTCCAATCATGTATCAATCTTTCAAGCAGTTCAGTCTTTCATCCCACCATCTACCCTCTCTACAAGCTAATCATCCATTCAATTTTCAATGGATCCCCCTTGATTTCCATGAGTTTTTTTGGTTATAATAAAAATCCTGCTGAGTTGCTGAAACTAATAACTGATCAAAGTAGAAAAACATAAAGGACACGTAAAAATCATGTGATCCAAGACTTTAAAAAAGCAGAACATTCTTTTCAAGTGAGTTTTCAGACACTTTCCAGAATGTAGATCGATTCCAATACATGACAGTGAAGTAATTGAAATCTCAGTTTAAAGTCGACAGAGTTAGAGTGGTGCGCTGCTTGTGTCATTAACATTGTCAGGAGGATTGACTCAACCACGAAGGGACTTGAATCCTCAATCTTCTGATCCGAAGTCAGACGCCTTATCCATTAGGCCACATGGTCTTTACCTCTAGAAATTAAAGTTAGCTTTTTATTTGGCTTTTACGAATTTCTATGCAAATGATTGGATGTGCAAATTGCATCAAACTAATCCAAATGCCACAAAAGCTAGTTCCACCATATCACATTTGAATTCAAAATCCAACTGAACTTCACGTCTAATAGTTTCAGCATGACTTCCTATTGGTCTAGACTGTTGAGGATTTGCCCGCGTTGTCATTTCTTTCCTCCAATCATGTATCAATCTTTCAAGCAGTTCAATCTTTCATCCCACCATCTACCCTCTCTACAAGCTATTCATCCATTCAATTTTCAATGGATCCCCCTTGATTTCTATTAGTTTTTTTTTTGTTATAATAAAAATCCTGCTGAGTTGCTGAAACTAATAACTGATCAAAGTAGAAAAACATAAAGGACACGTAAAAATCATGTGATCCACGACTTTAAAAAAGCAGAACATTCTTTTCAAGTGGGTTTGCAGACACTTTCCAGAATGTAGATTGATTCCAATACATGACAGTGAAGAAATTGAAATCTCAGTTTAAAGTGGACAGAGGTAGAGTGGTGCGCTGCTTGTCAGGAGAAATGAACCAAACTCGAAGGGACTTAAACCCTCAATCTTTTGATCCGAAGTCAGACGCCTTATCCATTAGGCCACGTGGTCTTTACCTCAGAAAATAAAGTTAGCTATTTATTTGGCTTTTACGAATGTCTATGCAACTGATTAGTTGTGCAAATCGCATCAAACTAATCCAAATGCCACAAAAGCTAGTTCCACCATATCACATTTGAATTTCAAAATCCAACTGAACTTCACGTCTATTACGTCCCCGGCTCTCTAGGGGAGATGAGGGGAGTAATTAAAGTAGTGTGTGGATTAAATAATAAACAGAGTGCTGTGTTGCTAAAGTCTAAAGAATTTTATTAC